AGCTATACGTAGAAAAAAAATTCAACTTCTGATTGCGTGTTGTGTGTATTGATCGCACTGAATGAATCTTGGAAAGCGATACTGCTATTCAAAGCCTTTTAGTGTTGCTGAGAATATTGTCAACATAGTACCTTTTTTTCAACAAGCGTTGAATACAAATTACCTTCAGACGTCTTGCACTGTTACCCTTGATAAACAGCTATTCAATTTTTTTTTATCTATTTCCATTTTGTTTATTTGAAAACTAATTTTACATGAAAGATGAAAATCGCAATAACTAGGCCATATGAGCAGACTGATGCCTAAAAGCAAGGAGCTCTTTCACATCTGAGGTTGGGGTTGTGGATGATATCGACGACGGCCTGGGCGAGTTTAAGATCTGAGTAGAGCCGAGAGATGTCCACAAAGGAGGGAGGGAAGAGAGAGGGGGTTGAGTGGGAGGATCTACAGTGCAAGATGATTGGAAGAGACACCGACCATATTTGTCGCCAAGGTTGGAACAGTCCAAGGTTTTCACCCGGGTCTCGGTCTCCACTTTGGCCACCAACTCAATGAATTCATCCGTGATTTCAGTCCCACATGCCTGCATCAACAAACACACGTACAGACATACAAAAGATATCAAATCTCTGTACAGAATCAGACTCTGGCAATCATCCCCAAAGAACACAGGATGGTAGAGCAAAATGAGGGCGCGATCAGAAGAAGGGCAAGAAATAGACTGACCGCTGAGTCGCCTACTGTCACTTGTCCTCCATCCGATGATTCTATGAGTAACTCCGGAGATAACTAAGAATCCAGCGACGAGAGTCAGTCCAAGTGATCGAACATTGTTTTCGAGATGGATGGATGAAAGCGCAACCGATCTCTCCAAACAACGGTCGCACAAACATTGGACATACGCACGCTGATCACTTTTCCTGAAATCCTGACGACTTGGCCGACTGTTCATCAAAAAAAAGAACATCCGATTCAATCAAGATCAGGATCCATTTCTCTCGTTTTCTCCTAGCCCAAATTAGATAACAGACAACAGAGTAGTGAAAATTTTGGTTAGATTAACTGACCGTATTGGCCGAGCAAGCTTGAAGAAACTCTCGGAGTAGGTACGTCCATTTTTGTTTCGATGTTCTGGATATATGCGACAGATGCTTACCAGTATGACTGCTGGAGATGAAGATGGCGTCATGACCAAAATTACTGAATGGCTGGTTTGCTTGATGGGGTTGGCCGCTGGTGGGCTCGGGGTGGTTGAAGTTGATACTAAGGAAATCATCGCTCACCTTGCGGCTTGACCGACTTGTAGATATAGAAGTTGTGTGTCGATGGGTCTGACCCGTTTCGGGCCTTGTTGCTGAAGTCGGTATGGCCGAAGAAGATGATATCCCAGTCCTTAGGGACGTCCCTCAGGATGGTCCCGGCGAGGTATTTGAACGCGGCCTCGATATCGACATCGTCTGAACAAAACCGACCCGAGAATCCACAGAGAGAGAGAACGACAAATGAGTGATGAGGAGAAAAACAAAGGAAGCGGGGGAGAGAAGAAGATGATATGGTACCTTTGAGGATCAACGTGATTTTGTTGTCATCAGCGTCAGCGGCCCCAATGGCCAACCGATGAGACATCCGACAAGCCACATGACCGCCCTCGGCGACCTTCTTATCCGCCTTAGTGTTGTTGCCGATCCGCTGGACAGTGTCGAGGACGCGGGGGTCGGAGTAGAGGATGGCGTCGACGAAGTGGAGGTTGTCGAGCTATTGAAATGAAAAACTCAATTATATTAGGGGAGAGAGAGAGAGAAAGTGAGACAGACTTGCGCTGTCGCTTAGTGGCTTTTCATGGCCTTCTTACGACGGC